TAAATCGAGTCCGTCCATGGACATATTAATATAATTACACAATATTTAAGAAAGTTAAAAAACAAAATTTATTCGATACATAAAAATATTCATAATCTTTACTTTTTAAGTTTATATATTCATATATAAAAAATTATATGTTTTTTTTCTTCTTTTAAAATACGACAAAAAGTAAAGTTTATTCATGTTATATTTTTATTTGACATTTTATTTTTTTTCAAAATATATATTTAATCACCTTAAAGCATGAGTTCTATGATGACCCTCTAAGATTTATTGAATTAATTTAAGTTATTTCTGATTTACCACAAACTAAAATGAATTCAATATAGCAATCATCTAATAGGCCATAACTTATCATACTAAAAAGTAAATAATAGTAATAGTAACTTATTAATGATTTTTACCACTTTTAATATATTGTATTTGAAAAGTTCAACGCACAGGTCGTGGACGTGCCGGAGTGGTTATCGGGCATGACTAGAAATCATGTGGGCTCTGCCCGCGCAGGTTCGAATCCTGCCGTTCACGTTTTTATCTTCTTTTTCTCATCCATATTCCATTTTCTGCTTCTCTCTTCATCCACAGCTCTGCTTCTCAGTTATCTTCACCAATCGCTGATGAATGAATTCAAGAACCAGAAACAAATAGCGAAGCTGAATGTTGACAAGAAACCAATCTATTCTATATCTCACTATTAACAATCTCGTAAAACAATGTAAAACCATTAATCAGCTTCACCAACTCCATGCCCACACCATCACCACAGAACTTCTCTTTCTTACTCCTCATGTCCTAACCAAAATCCTCTACACTATCACCAACCTTGCTTCTATTTCCACCTCACCCACATCATCACTATCTTCTTCTTCTTCAACTTCACTTTTAAGCTACGCTCTCTCTGTGTTCACTTCCATCCCCAACCCATCAACCTTTTGCTACAATGCTATAATCAGATTACATATCATCCTCTCATCTCCTTTCCCCGCTCTGCGTTTCTTTTCCCACATGCGCCGTATTTCTCTCCCTCCTGATTTTCACACTTTCCCTTTTGCTTTCAAGGCTTGTGCTCAAACCCGTGCGCTTTCCGTCGCAGAAATGCTTCACTGTCAAGCATTCAAGTTTGGTTTTACTTCTGATTTGTTTGTTTCGAATTCTCTCCTCCGGGCCTACTCGATTAGTGGTAACGTAAAGCAAGCGTACACGGTGTTCGATGAAAGTTCTCACAGAGATGTTGTTACCTATAATTCATTGATCGATAGTTTTGTTAAAGCTGGTGAGATTATACGTGCTCGTGAATTATTTGATTGCATGCCTTCTCGTGATGCAGTCTCGTGGGGTACGTTAATAGCCGGGTATTCCCAAGTAAATCAGTGTAATGAGGCGATTGAGCTTTTCAATCAAATGATTGTTTCAGATTTTCGACCTGATAATATCTCTCTGGTTGCTGCTCTTTCTGCTTGTGCTCGGTTGGGAGAATTGGAACAAGGCAAGGCCATCCATAATTATATAAAAACGAACAGGATTCGTGTAGATTCGTTTTTGTCAACTGGGCTGGTTGATTTTTATGCAAAGTGTGGTTTTATCGAAATTGCCATGGAAATTTTCGAGTCCAGTTTAGAGAAGAACGTGTTTACCTGGAATGCTATGCTTACTGGTCTTGCAATGCATGGGCATGGCCAGGTTACGTTAGATTACTTCTCGAGAATGATTGATTCTGGAGTTAAACCTGATGGGATCAGCTTCTTAGGAGTCTTGGTGGGGTGTAGCCATGCAGGACTAGTCAATGAAGCAAGGAAGATTTTCAATGAGATGGAAACTATCCACGGGATTCCTCGAGAGCTGAAACATTATGGATGCATGGCTGATTTGCTTGGGCGAGCTGGTTTGATTGGAGAAGCTATGGAGATGATAAAGAAGATGCCTATGGGGGGTGATGTGTTTGTATGGAGTGGTGTGCTTGGAGGATGCAGGATACATGGAAATGTTGAGATTGCAGAGAAGGCAGCAGAGCATGTGATGGAGTTAAAACCTGAAGATGGTGGAGTTTATTCAGTCATGGCAAGTGTTTATGCCAATGTAGGGAGATGGGAAGACGTGGTTAAGATTAGGAAATCCATGGATTGCAAGAGGGTGAAAAGGAACGCTGGTTGGAGCTCGATTAAACTAAATGGTATTGCTCATGAGTTTGTTGCAGGAGATGATTTGCATCCTCAAACCCAGGAGATATACCTAGTTCTAAATGGAATTACAGAACATCAACTTCAAGCATGACCCGAAACAACTCCCAGTTGAGATTAGGAAATCCATGGATTGCAAGAGGGTGAAAAGGAACGCTGGTTGGAGCTCGATTAAACTAAATGGAATTGCTCATGAGTTTGTTGCAGGAGATGATTTGCATCCTCAAACCCAGGAGATATACCTAGTTCTACATGGAATTACAGAACATCAACTTCAAGCATGACCCGAAACAACTCCCAGTTGAGATTAGGAAATCCATGGATTGCAAGAGGGTGAAAAGGAACGCTGGTTGGAGCTCGATTAAACTAAATGGTATTGCTCATGAGTTTGTTGCAGGAGATGATTTGCATCCTCAAACCCAGGAGATATACCTAGTTCTACATGGAATTACAGATCATCAACTTCAAGCATGACCCGAAACAACTCCCAGTTTCCATGGCAACCGTCTGTTATTTTTTATTCATACCCTTGAGTCGGTTTCTCTCTCTGTCCCTACAGGATATCAGTATAAAATTAAACTATACTGTAGCGACAAGACGTGGAGCTTCAAGAGGCTTCTACGTTGATCTGCACTCTGTTAAATCTCGACAAGTGTCCCTTACTTTACACTATGCTACGTGGCTCCAGAACCCTCTCTTATCCATGTCTACCTGCAGTGACACTTTCTATTTATAGGCCAAAAAGTCCACAACTTTTCTCCAAACAGCAAGGAAACAAGCAAAGCGAAGTGAGAATCTTGTGACATAAACATGGCATTCAGATCAACGGTAAGCAAGCAATCTTCTTTTCTTCAAAATTTATTCTTCTCAACTCATGTTTCTTAAATCTTTTCATATTTGATTAACGAGTTGCAGAGGTTATATAAGTTTGTGGCAACCCAGTTGGGAGGAAATGCAAAGTACGCCACCTGGACACCACCGAAACCAAAGGCGTTCTCACAAATCGGCGATGTGGGTCTGATCGGAAGGGCGGAGGCGAGCAAGGGAAGAGCAAGGAAAGGTGATTTCGTGCCGGTTTACGTGGCTCTAGGCATGATAGCCATGTCGACCATGATGGGACTGTACACGGCGAAGCAGCAACTGATGTACTCGCCGGGAGTGCGGGTAAGCAAGAAGATGAGGGAGACGCTCCCGGAGGTGGAGGACCCAGATAAGGTGGTGGAGGAGGCAGATAAATTTGTGAGGAAATCCTTTTTCAGGAACTTGGCACACGTGCAACAACATGATTTCACTGAGATACCCGCAATTGATCCCATTTGTGCTGATGATTCTGTTCTCAGAAGTCATGTTGAGACGCTCAAGTCTGTTGGGGTCGATCCTAAACTCCATTGATCCGTATTACCATATAATTTGTTGGTTCTGTTACTTTGGCTTTTGGAAAATCCTTTTCGTGTCGCTTTGGTAGATGAAGAGAAAGTTGAAGACGAAAGAAATAATCATGTTTGGATAAATGTTGTATGTATAAAAGCTAATGTAATTGCTTGTGTAGATGCTTAGAACTACTTGTAAGTTAATGCAGCGCGGGGACTTAGTTGGAAGAGAGCAGGAAAAAAAGGAAAATTTTTGAATAAAAAATGTGTGCGCATCCGGGGAATCGAACCCCGGTCAGTACCGTGGGAGGGTACTATGATACCACTACACCAGATGCGCTCCCATTTTTGGGAGGTCTAAACTATCCAATCTAAAACAGTCGTGCAAGGTATTGTCCCTGGGCCAAGCTCTAGCACCAAAGAAACAACATTGCAAGGTAGAAAATTTTCAAAACTATTAGACACACGATTATTTTAAAAGTTCACCTTTTTGATTTTTTTATACACAAAATAAATATGTTATCTTATATCTAAATATAAAGATTTTTAGAATTATTTTCTAAACGAACAAGAAATTCAGAGGTTTATACTCAATAAATTATTAAAAATATGAATATAAAATTAATAAAATTACTACGACAAAGGCACTCAAAATTAGGGTACATGTAGGTTTTAATTGTGTAATTTAAAGAAGAGCATCAAATTGTAATTAATAATAATTTGGGTAAAAATATTGAGGAATCCTTGTGGAAAACCCGGAGAAGAAACAAGTTTTGTCACCTTATACTCCAATTACTTTTGGAACCCAATAGTTTAAAGCACCAAACTTTGACATCCTCGTCAATTCAATCTTGGAGGGGTTAAATGCTAAAGCACTTGGAATATTTGTTCTTGTCAAAACCCTAAGTTGATTTTAAGCCCATATGGGCCAAATCGAAAATTTCTTCATACTTTCCATACACCATCCATCTCCCTTCTCCTACTCATTTTCACCATCTTGGATTTTTCTCTATCTATTTCTTCCCCTTTCTTGTCTATACAAATGTTAAAACTAGAAAAATTCCAAGTTCTAAAACAGACATATAAAAGTATAAACATGATTTTGAGTAAAATTTATTAGTTATAGTTTAAACATGATTTTGAGTACATATTTATATATTTTAATAATTAAATAGTTAATAACACAATTAGCTTTTTTAATTTTGTTTAAATTTACTAATACTCACCCACTAATAATAAAATTTTAACTTTCTAATAATAAAAAAAAAACAAAACAAAATAATTAATCTACTAAAAAAACATATATTGAAGACACAATACAATTTGAACCTAGAGAAGAGTGGAAGTATCTCTAATGTTGATCTTATTAAGTATTGCCAAAATAATATTAATAATCAAATGTCTAGGAAATTGCTGCAAATATATGTATATATATATATATATACATATATATTATATTGCGATGTTACTGAAGGCAACTTCATCAAAGACATCGTGTGTATCATATTAGTTCAACTATGGAAATATTGTTTCCCGAAAGTTTCTTTGTAAATTGCTTTCATTACATCAAGAAAACCAACCAAGAGCATATATATATATGTGTGTGTGTGTGTTATGAGGATGAGGGTTTTGTTTTTTCGTTCATATAAACTTTGTATCTGAAAAATCGGGAGCCCACATTCTATAACTCTCTTCCTCAATGGCTCCACTCGGCTTCCTTCCCGAGAGGAGCGGTTGAGGTAAGAGAGTTACAGAAAGTGTTGGTTCCCAGCTCTTCCTAATTACCCAACCAGCCATAAGTATATATAATATATATGTATAGATAGATATATACACCTGCTATGGGTTACATCTTGCTAGGTACTGCTAAACCCAAGGCAGACGCATGAACTAGTGATATATATATATATATATATATATAAACCGCTGGCTTTGGCCATGATTAATACATATTCTATGTATGTGTATATGATGTCTTTGCACACATGTATATAATGGTCTCTATTAATACTTACACGTGTAAATATAGCAATTGTTACAGTCGACACAATTTCTCTCCCGGTTTCTTTTCTTAATCAGAGAGCGTGTGTGTGTGTGAGTTTGCAGGCGTTGATCATTTGAGGACACTCACCGTATGAAGAAAAAGAAGCAGGTGATCGTGTCTACAATGGCCGATCTCCAAAATTACAAGGTAAATCTAGTTAATTATTCAGAACATATTTCCAAGAAATTGCCCCATAATTTCATGCAACAAATATTAGTATAACTTTTGGGTGGATTACAAATTATAATTATATATGTTAAAAAGAAAAACCATACCATTTTACTTGCATGTCATTCTACTTTTATATATATATATACATATATTCTAACATATTCTATTAATATTAAGAACAATAATAAAAAGTCTTACAAACTCGTAAACCCTAGTACGTACCCTTCTTAGTTTCTTTGATTCTCTTTTGCTCAACTATCTTTATTTGTAAATAATATTTTTCATATTTACATTAAGTTGATAATTTTATTTTATTTTATTTTAATTTTCAATTTATCTGTCTATTTAAAATTATTATTCAATTCTCTCCAATGTTTAAAATTATTGCACATGTTTTAATTTTTAAGATTAAATATCAGTAATTAAGATTTTTTCACGTATACTATACCCTATTTTAGGGTCTTTTTTTTTTTCATTAGTGCTAATATATGTGTGTTAACCTTTATACCTAACTTTTATTTTAATTTTATCTTATGATATTTGAGTGTATTGAGACTTGAGTTATTTTAGAATTATTTATATTAAATTCAATCTTATTTATTTTATAAAGTATTATCATATTAATTGAGCTACATAAATTTTGTATTTGTTTATTTTTTACTCTTAGTTTTATTGTTCAGTTTATCGTATCATACAACATGAACTTTTCATGTCAAATCTATTTTGGTTATAAGTGTATAAAATTATATGCTTTAAATTTCGGGGATTGAAGTTAATAATTTGATTTCGTGACTTTTAAATGTAACTAATCATTAAAATTAATAAAAATTATAACTCTTGAAAGCAATTAGTACAATTATATATTTATTAATTGAGTAATGTACATATATTAATTATTATAATACAATAAAAATAATTTTTAACGATTATATATTATATACGATAATGATCAAACTCGCAATCACTTATAAAAAGAAATAACGGATTAACCATTTGCCTAAGTAGTAGTTTTTATCAGAAAAATATATTTTATTTAACTTTTAAACTCTACAATTCTATGAAATGTTTAGTAATTATAAGGTTTTTATGTCAAAATTTTAATAAAATAACATTAATTGTTTTCCGATAAAAAAAAAATCATATAACTATATATTTTAATCTAAAAATAACTATGAATTAAGTTCATCCATATGACTACTTTTCCAACGAATCATAAATGTGTATAAAAATATATATTACGTACGTGTATATATATATATATATATGATGGGCTATGCCTTGTCTATTATAAATGGGCCAAGGCCTATGATTGACCTACTTATGGTTAGGACAAATATTTAGCCCATAGAATGAGTCAAGCCCTGTAAGTACGACAGCTGACTCAATGAAAGTCTCACGCACAACATTACACACATCATAAAAGAATATATGCACGTATTTTGTATACGTGGCATTCTCCGATTGGTCCATTTCACGTGGCGCATAATACCATTGGTCGAAACACCACCAGGTTACTCTCCCTTTTGTTCTATAAAACGATCTAGAAGGACCCAACAAGGGTAAAAGCTAACCTGTTCGTTTCTCTCATCTTTTTATCTTCGGATTTCAAATCAGATTTAGATTCAGATCCAGATCGATCGTCGTTTACGGCGAGAGATGAGAGGAGGGAGGCTTGGATTCAGTCTGTTCTTTCTAATTGCTCTCATTTCGTTTCAGCAGCTATGCTACTGTGACGACGATGCGGTAATGGCTCCTCTCTAGCTCTCCAAATCATTTCGGTATCTATATTTTATTTACTTTTTTCTCATGTTTTATTTTTCGAGCTGGTGCAGATCTTTTATGAGTCTTTTGACGAGTTATTTGAAGGTCGCTGGGTTGTTTCTGAGAAAGACGACTACAAAGGTGAGTGATTCTTCTGGATCTGCCGATTGTTATCTATATAGTTTATTCTCTCAGATTCGGCAGTCTTGATGATCTATTTATATAGTTTATTCTCTTCTCTTATTGCTGTTTCTGTTGTTACTCAAATGGATAATGATCATAATTAATTTTTTAGTGGATGATGATTAATACTTAGTTCTTAATATCAGTCATTAACAATTAATGTTACCTTGCCTTTTATGGTAAGTCTAATGAAGGTAGAGGTTTGACACACGTGACCTTTTTTATTTGCCTGTCCTCTTATTTGAGCAGTATTTATGGAATTTAAGCTAAAATGAAAAACTAAATTGCCGTATAAAATTGTCTGTTAGCATGTTCTCTGTATCAATGTTGCATAAACGTACGTGTTTAGATCAGTAAATTTGAGCATGGGACTGAAAATTCGTGCTTGAAAGACGTGGCAAATGAATACTTAGGTTTGATGTACAGAACAACTTAGCGCCACCATTAATAATATCTTTAATGTTCTTCTAACGAATGTGATTTTGATGACATCATTGATAGGGATTTCAATCCATGCATGGTTTTATATGCTTGTCTTTAGATATTGGTCTCGTTTAACTCCTACGTAATAGGACCTGGATTTATGACATATTAAAAAAATGTCTACTAAAATCAGTGCTTACTTCATACTAATGTAGAGTATCTTTCTATGGAGTCCGCATAAGTAGTTTTCTTGTTTGGCTCGGACTTTGCCTGAGGTTTTACTTAATCAGTAGTATCAACTATTTAAGAAATGAGATAATAAAATATTGTTAGATTTCTCTATATTGATCTAAAATCATAAATACATGCTGCTTTCACTATTTGATTCTAAATTGTTACCTTTTAACATATCAAAAATAGATTGTGTTTATTTTTATCAGCTTAACTGTTGGGATGGTCGGTCAATTTATTATTTAAAATGGTACCAGAGCTAAAGACTGTGTTTTCAAATTCTAAGAACTCTCTTTCTCTCTCCTATTATTTGTTCACTTATTTCTTTGCCTATAATTCAAGCATCTAGTTACGCAAAGTTTGTTAAATCTCTATTTTACTTGTATCATGCTTTTGTACCTTCATGCTTTCTGCATTTTCAAACCCGCACTAAGTGAAAGATAAAAAAAATCTGCTTGCTCTTAACATATAAGTTATAAATTGTGTTCTTTCCCACCACCTTAAGTATTTTGGATAATCAGTTCAACATTTTATTTAAGAGTTGCAATTATGTGATCTACATTATTGTTTACCCAAGAAGCAGTAGGGAGGGGGGAAGGGTGCCATTTCATGTATGTTTCTGGGGAACAGAGCTTTTGTGTACTTATTCTTGTTTAAAGCCACTGTATTTCTTCTGGATTTTACTTGAGATTAAATTTACAGTATTCTTTTAAAGCTTTCGTTTCATCAATATGATATCTTGAACATTAGGGGTGATATGTTTATATATATGGTTTCTCTCCAGTGCAATGAAGAGTGAAACTAGGTTTCTGTTGTAATGAATGGTTCTGTTTTCTTTCCTATTTGTTCTTTACCATTTGGTGGCCGGTTATCGTCTACAAGAAGACTTCGCTGAGGTGCTATTTTGGTTTCAGGTGTATGGAAGCACTCAAAGAGTGAGGGACATGATGATTATGGACTTCTCGTGAGTGAGAAGGCCAGGAAGTACGCAATAGTTAAAGAGCTTGATGAGCCTGTTAAGCTCAAAGATGGGACTGTTATCTTGCAATTTGAGACCCGGCTACAGAATGGGCTTGAATGTGGTGGTGCATATCTTAAATATCTCCGTCCTCAAGAAGCTGGATGGATTGCTAAGGAATTTGATAACGAGTCCCCATATTCTATTATGTTTGGACCTGACAAGTGTGGAGCCACAAATAAGGTCCACTTCATCTTAAAGCATAAGAATCCAAAGAGCGGGGAGTATGTTGAACATCATCTCAAGTTCCCACCCACTGTGCCATCTGACAAGCTCTCTCATGTATACACTGCTATTCTGAAGCCTGACAATGAGCTGCGAATTCTGATTGATGGGGAGGAGAAGAAAAAAGCAAATTTCCTCGTAGCTGACGATTTTGAGCCTGCCCTTATTCCTCCCAAGACAATTCCTGACCCTGATGATAAGAAGCCTGAGGACTGGGATGAGAGGGCAAAAATTCCAGATCCTGATGCTACAAAGCCAGATGATTGGGATGAGAATGCACCAATGGAAATTGAAGATGAGGATGCTGTGAAACCTGAAGGATGGTTGGATGATGAGCCTGAGGAGATAGATGATCCTGAGCACCCAAGCCAGAGGATTGGGATGATGAGGAGGATGGTGAATGGGAGCTCCAAGATTGATAACCCAAAATGTGAAGCTGCCCCT